CAAGTTGTTCTGGGGTATAAAGGTTAGATCACTTTCCAATGGAAGCACATCAAAACCTACTTTAGGTTTACAGATTCTAGGTGAAGTTCTGCTGTAACATCAGTTGTCCCTTTGCTTGTGCCTGCAGATTCAGGCATGGCAAAAGGATTTTCTCCTCTGCACAGGTCTTTGCATGGCACAATATGGGTTGGACAGCTACTGGGAAGGAGCTGTGTCTGCACTGGAGCTGTTATCAACAGGACAGTTTGAACCTGTGGAAGGACTTCCTGACACTTGACTAGACAAGGCAGCAGCAAAAACATTGCAAGCAAGAAAGGGTGAATTTATAAACTGAAATCCAGAATCCTTCCTAGCCTGAGTAATTTGTGGCTGTTAAAGGATTGAAATCCTTTGGACACTTCATCCTTCACAAGTAACTTGCCTGCATGTGTGAATGCATAGAGTTCATCTTAGAGAGATGAACTTACACAGTTACTGCACACAGCTCTGGGGCCTCAGCCTGGGAAGGACATGGAACTGTTGGAGCAAGTGCAGAGGAGGCCACAGAGCTGCTCAGAGCACTGGAGCATCTCCCTGTGAGCACAGGCTGAGGGAGTTGGGGCTGTTGAGCCTGGAGAAGAGAAGGTTGTGTGGAGAGCTCAGAGCACCTTGCAGGAGCTGAAGGGGCTCCAGGGAAGCTGCAGAGGGATCTGTGTTAGGAGCTGCAGGGACAGCACAAGGGGCAATGGGCACAGATTGAAGGAGGGAAATTTAGGTTAGATCTGAGGCAGAAGTTTTCCCTGTTCTGGTGGTGAGACCCTGTCCCAGGGTGCCCAGGGAGGCTGTGGCTGCCCCAACCCTGGCAGTGTTCACAGCCAGGTTGGATGAGCCTTGAGCAACCTGCTCTGGTGGGAGGTGTCCCTGCCCAGGGCAGGGCTTGGGGCTGCATCATCTCTAAGCTCCATCCCAACCCCTAAAATCCTAGGATTCATGTCCTTACCCACACAGCTGGCCAGCACAAGGCAGCTCTCCTCCAGGCCCCACACTGCCACTGGCACCAACATTCCTGTGTCTCAGCACATCTCCCCAGTGTACCTGCTCCCAGCCAGCCCAGAGCATGGACTGAGATTTCTCAAGTCTACCTGCACTTAGATATCAGTTTGAGCAGCAAATTTTAACAAGAGCCCAAGTTATCCCAGGAGAACCCATCTGACTTGGAGACACAGGTCCCGTACCTGAAATCCTTTTTTGCAGGCTCCCTCAATCTCGTGGTAGTCCTGCTCTGTGCAGAGAGGACAAGCTTCTGCACTTTCCCACAAGAAGTAGAAAGTGCATCCATCGCAGGTGCCTGCAGGGCAGGAGCTGGGGGGAGCACAGGTCAGTCAGCTGTTAGTTCCTAGGACAGGTTGCCTTTTTCCAACAAAATCACTTTGTCCACAGCCACTGCTGTTGCTCAAGGAAGAAAAACTACCTCTCAGAGCCCCAACTAGGCAGTTCTACCTAATCAGGAGGCCAAAGATCAAAATAAGGAACTGAAATAAAGCTGAGGCTAAGACAAGAAAACGTCACTATATTTTCTTTTGGTTTCAAGCTTGGAAGAAGCTGCCTGAGCTCTAACTTCTCTCACCACACAGCCTGAACACAGAGCAGTGATGGACACCTAGGAGAAACAAGTGAGACCTCCTGCAGGGCTGATGAGGGACACAGCACTCCTCACTGCTGTCACATGAAAGTTACTAACTGAGCTTTGTAAAGATCACCTGAGGAGGCTTTATGACACCACTAGGATGCACACCATGAAATACCTGGGCACAGAGAGCTCTCCTTGGTCTGGTTTGTTGGGGTTGCATCTCATTGTCACGACAGTTGCACGGCCATTTTCACAGGAGGTTGTCACTGTTGAAGACCTAATGTCAAACAAGAGGAGAAAACAAACATGTTTCCACGACACTATCACAAAATCACAGAACCACAGACTTACTCCTCGAGGCTGAGCCAAAGAGATTCGCCTTCAGTCATTGGTTCAGGTGAGTAACATCAATCTCTGCTTGAGAATTGGTTTTGCTGCTGCAATACAATTGCTTCAATATTGCTTTACAGTGCACCATGTCACAACAGCTCTTATAGCTCCTGTATTGTGCAGCAAATAATCCTGGTTAAAACCTTTTGGTCTAATCATTCTTCTACTAAATCTTATCTATCTATATACATATCTCTGGTTTGCCATCCTTAAACAAGTTGTACAAAGGTTCAGTCACACCTGTATAATCCTTTAGACATAAACCACTGACAAAGTCTGGGGCTAAGGTTGGATCCAGCCCCTCAAGGCTCTTCTCAGATGAGTTTAGGAAGTATCACCCTCTACAACTCCCTGACAGGAGGTTGGAGTCAGGTGGGGGTTGGGCTCTTCTCCCAGGCAACAGCAGCAGGACAAGAGGGCACAGACTCAAGCTCTGCCAGGGGAGGGTTAGGTTGGAGATTAGGAAGAGATTTTTTGCAGAGAGAGTGCTCAGGCATTGGAATGTGCTGCCCAGGGAGGTGGTGGATTCCCCATCCCTGGAGGTTTTCAAGCTGAGACTGGATGTGGCACTTAGTGCCATGGACTAGTAACCACAGTAGGGTTGGACTTGATGATCTTTGAGGTCTTTTCCAAAATGATTGAATCTATGATTCTATGAAAGTAAATGCAAATGAAAGTGAGACAAAATATGCAATGGGAAATGGACACATCGAAGTCATATATGAGAAGGTATGGAAAGAACCATGATAATGGAAGTGACACCTGGATGAAACCAAACTCTGCTATCACTTCCTACACATCAAGTATAATTTAGATTTGAGTAAACAGTGTTTGGTGATTTTAGAAGATGTTCCTCAACATGCCAATCAGTATCAGCCAGACACTGATTAAAGTGGTGAAGATTAAAGGTGGATTACAGATCCTCCCTCCCTCCCTTTAAACAGATGACATAGCAATAAACAGTATTTTTACCTACTTGTAAAAGAAATGCACATCTGGTAATTTGCTTGGAGAGGGAGGAAACATATCTGCCTTGATGCTGATGTTTTCCAGCATTGTTTCCGCAGTAGCTCCTAAAATTGGAGAAGGAAAAAAACCAAACACAGTAAGAATGGAATTTTTTGATGGTTTCACATGTAACATTTTGTCAGTGTGAAAGGGATGGATCTCATTAACAGCATTTCATGGCATTACTATATATTAGCCACTTTATTCTAATGCAACATTGCAGATCAATATGTTCCTCATCCAGTTTGATTTCTTCACACAGACATAACAAAACATCTGATCCAATCAACATCCAAAGTATATGCCTTGAATGTGAAACCCTCACACATGGTGAGCATGGAAGGCCCTGACCAACCTGCTCTACTGTGGGAGGGACAACCATGAGAGTCAGAAGGATGATGGAGCTGTGGGCAAGCCTTGATGGCACATTTTGGAGCAAATGACAGGGTGATGTGTAGAACAACAGATTTGGGGCAAAAGCTGGAAAAGAGGAAAATTTGAGTAGCCGAAGTTCTTAGAGATCCTTCCAACCCCATGAACCAAAGGAGACAGAAAATATTGGTGCTCCACTGCAATATTTCAAAAGAGAGGGTTGTACAAATGGGACAGAATCCTTCTAGGGAGGTGCAAAGTTACCAGAATAACAAGAAAAAGCAGTGGCAGTCAGAAACTGGTGGAAAGACGGAAGGAAATAAGTTTTATACTTATTCCTGAAACAGTTCATAGAATCACAGGCTCATGGAATGGTGTGGGCTCAAAGGGAGCTTAAAGATCATCTTGTGCCAACCCCCAGCAATGGGCAGGGACACCTTCCACTACATCACCTTGTTCAAAACCCCATCCAACCTGGCCTTGAACACTTCCAGTGTTGGGGCATCCACAGCTTCCCTGGGCATGAGTCTGGAGATAAAAGGACTCAGGGATTCCAGACACAGGAGTGATTTTTAGTGTCAGTATAGTAAATTAAATACTGGAGAGCTGGAACAGCCATAAGCTGAGCCAGGGCAGAGTCAGATTGGGTGTGAGGAGAAATGTTTTCCCTGTTGTGGTGTTGAGGCACAGGGATATTGCCCAGGGAGGTGGTGGAGTGATTCTGCCTCTCTACTCAGCCCTGGCGAGATCACACATGGGATATTGTTTCCAGCTTTGGGCTCCTCAGTTTCCACTTGTCTTTCATTCATTACATTAATCCAGTTCAGAAAGGAGGTGTGAATAGGTAGACCACAAGAAGCAGAAGACAAAGCAGGTACCTAAAAACATGTCAGCAAGGCTGTTGGACTGCAGGGCCAGGGCAGTTCTGAAGCCCTTGCTGTCTGATGGGATGATGGTGGATTGGCAGACAAAAGCTCCCACAAAGTTGGAAAAGTCTTGTGATTCTGCAACCATGTCCTTCAGAGTAACATCTGTGATGTTGTCAGTGCAAATCGCCGTCTTCTTCCCCTGGGGGCAAGCAGGAAAAAAAATAAATGAGGGAAGCTGTTAGTTTTCAGTAAGACCTGGAAAAGGTTGGGAAAGGAAAAACTGCAAACTTCCTGATTGCAAACTGGATGGGACTCAACACTTTACCTTAGAACAACCTGATGTCTCTGTCGTAAGAGGGACAAATTGCAATGGGCAACTGTGCCATTGTGAAAGCTCTGATTAAAGCCTTGTACAGAGCCAGGAACACAATGTCACCTCTGGCATGTGTCTTATCAGGAATCTGTGCTGGGGAGCACTCTTTGTCTGTCTTGACAGCACAGTATTTACTTGCAGAGCATCATCAAATGCCTTGCAAAGGAAAACCACATTTCCCTTGCTTTTAAAAAATTTACTTGCAGGACACCTCTTTATTTGGGATTTAATCCAGATAAAACATTTTCAAAGCACAAATACATCAAATCCCTAAACAGATATATCATAGAATCATAGAGTTTTAGTGGTTGGAATGGAGCTT